GTATAAGATGCTCCAAAATATAAGATACACCTAGCTTTTGGGAAAGAAAACAAGAAAAAAAATCTGCCTCTACCTCCCAGCAATTTGCCTCCTTGCAGCAAACAGCCTGTTTCACTTTCAATTTCAGCGCAGCCTGATTACCACAAGCAACTGATTGTCAATTGGATCAGCCTTCCAATGATCAGCTGTTTCAGGGTGAACAGATTGCCATAGCCTATTGCTGCCTCCATGCGCCCCATTTTCGGACTCTGTGCTTTCCATTTTCCGCCCATTCTGATCCCCGCCACCTGGAATGTGTGGAAAATGGGGCACGCGGAGGGTAAAACTGGGTTGTGCGGAGGCTGGAAACAGGATATGGAGGCTGAAAATGGGGTGTGTGGAGGCGGCAATAGGCTATAGCAATCCCTGCAGCCTAAAACAGCTCATTGTCGGGCTGCCGATCCAACCTACAATCAGCTGCTTGTGCTAATCAGGCTGTGCTGAAGCTGTAACTAAAACGGGCTGTTTGCTGTTTGCTGCAAGGAGGCAAATTGCTGGGAGGCAGAGGCAGATTTTTTTTCTTGTTTTCCTCCCCAAAAGCTAGGTGCATCTTATATTTTGGAGCATTTTATACTCCGAAAAATACGGTATATCCTTTCATCATTTCCCTTCTTTCCAGTGCTGCTGAATGGAATGCAAATCATAGCTCCCTTTTATTTTGAGCCATAATGCTCTTGTTCCTCCCTAGTGATTCCTACCAGGCAGCTAACATCTGTACACTAGTTGAAAAGCAGAATAGCTTCTCATAGTCCCAAAGGCTGCCTTTATATTTTTAGTTGGTGGCAAAATGGGTATGTTTGGCCTAGTCCAAAACACTCCCTTCAAAGGTTGGTTGCTAAAGCAGAGGAGTACAATAACTTTATTTTATTTACTGATACTATCTCCTCCCATATAACTTAGTCAATTCAGATTGTAGATACAGAACATGTATAGCTTCATATTATGAGGTTAATTGATTTAGAACACGAGTGTGTTACAGTCTTGTGCCAAGAATTTTAATTTCCAGTCAATTCCAAAGAAAAACACCCAACATTTTTAATGAACAGCAGTTTCCATATCTTATGGATACAATTGTTTTCAATAAGTCTATTAAAATGCTAATCAACCTACAATGGTGCTTACAAATTTGTGAACCCTTGAATGTTCAATTGTTCTGTATAAATAGGAACCTGAAATGTGATCTGTTTTCCACACAAATGCTAAAACCAGTTAAGGAGAACTTATTTTGCTGAGTTCCAGTTCCTCTGATGCAAATATAACATAAAGACCCATTTCCACCTTCACAACCAATAGCATAGAACTGTGCTAGTAGCTGTCCAAAGCAATCAAAACTCTGAGACCTAGAGTTTCCTCAAAGCATAATTTTATTTGGATGTCATATTGGCACAGCTGGTGAAAAGCCGACCCTGAAGGACCAAGGGTTTTCCCCAACCAAATAAAAATCCAAAGTTCTTGCTCCCAAGTCACACGTCCATCACATGGTCCAATCAGGTCACAGTCCCAACTCTGGCTGGCTTTTGTCCCCTCCAACACCTACTGTTTTCCCCCGAAAATAAGACATGCCCTGCTAATAAGCTCAATCGGGCTTTTCAGAGCACGCGCCATAATAAGCCCTCCCCTGAAAATAAGCCTGCCCCCAACTATTTAAGTGCATGTACAACTGGTCCCTGCCATTACCACTGTACCACCTAGCAGTACAGTTTGTGGGGCAAAAAGAAGGCTCTCCGCAAAAACAGCGGCAGGCAAAGCAAAGTGCTTCCACCCGCCCCCCGCCCTTCCCTCCCACGCAAAAAGAGCCCACCGCAAAAACAGTGGCAGGCCAAAGTTACCATTGGGGTGAGGTGGGCAATGTTGGGCCGCGAGGCTC